ACCAGGAGCTGCTGCAAAACACAGGGGATTTGTGTGCTTCAGTACTCAGCATCCCAGCACCTGGGTGTTAGCTGCCTGACAGCTGTACAGGGATTCAAAGCAGGATATATACCTAGGAACACCTTTAAGCCACGGGGAGATTTAATGCTTTAACCACTGTGACACAGAAGCGTATCTGCTAAGCTTCTTTGTGTGCTGAAGTTGAATACAGACAGCTCACTTCCAAGCACACCCTCTGCTGAAAGCCAAAAGAATTTCTTTAGATTTACTTCTTCTCTCCCTCAGGTTTTGGACCCACGTTGCTGTCACAAGAAATCTAATACATTCCTGAAAGCAGATTATGTCCCACTGCTGCAAATGCCATAATATTTACCAGCTCTCTGTGTTTGGGATCTGTCATGGCATATGCCTTCCACTTCTAGGAGTAAAAATGCAAACTAAGTGTAGCCCAGAACTTGTGTCCAGACCTGATGATGTCACCAACTTGCTCAAATAGGTATGTGGAATCTTTTAGTGGGCAATAAAACTGGTATTGATTTTTAAACATTCTGTATCAAAATGCATTTGTAGCTTTGAAACTTGTAACTGATTTGCAGTCAAAATTGTTATTTTTTTAACAAATGTTTTTAATTTCACCTTAAGATGATAATTTCATTAAATGATGGTCACAGGTTTCAGACAGAAAATGTGTAGGTTATAATTTTGCACGTCTGATCATGGAAAGAAAGGTATTGTCTACAACTGTCTCCAACAGTGGCCAAATCACTTATTCCTCTGCACAGAAATTAATAGCTAGGAACTGAGGCCACAAAATGGCACCTCTAAGCCATAAACAAATCATCCTTTCTTAATTAGTTATTTGTTTGTTCTTTTGTCTCCTTTTCAAATAATGAAGCACCAAGAAGAAATGAACCAGAAGCAAAATGCTGTAAAGGGAGAACTAAACAGTATTCACATTGATAATTTGGTTTAAAAAAAGGCATCATTAATCCTTAATAAAATATATCCCTCACATTGAGTTAATAGGAAATATCTAATAGATATAGTTACTTAATATTAGACTTTTGATGATTACATTTTTATTTTTTGCTCAGTGATCAGATAGGAAATATGTCTGGCCATATTTCATCTTCAACAAACAGCTAACTGTTTCATTTTTTTTGAGAGACTTCAGTAATTATTTAGTAGCAAAAATATCATCAAAAATACATTCCTCTAGAGAAATCAGTAATTTGATTTTCATCCATAACTAACCATACAGATTGCTGTGACCCATGTGGTAATTGTAAGTCAGGCACATGGAGTTGATTTCAGGAGTAAGATACACTGATATGCCTGGTTTTTAGTCCAACCTATAAAAAAATCTGTTAACAGGCCTGAATTTGAAGAAAGAAATATTTACTCCTGTTTTTTATAGGTTAGCCAAAATACCATATATATGCCCCAAACAATATTGATAATACCTGTAATTACACATAGAAACAATGTTACTGCAAAAAATAATGTTCCAAGGACAGTCTGTTTCTATATTTACCTGCCAAAACCCTGTCCTTCTGGAGTTGAGGAATGTAATTTAATTGAGACTCTTTTTCTTCTTCCAGAGCATTAATTTATTATGTAATTTTGTGGCTATTTTGAAGTACAGGTTCATGTTCAGTCAATCTCTTTTGCTTAATTAATATTGTCTAAATTTTATCTTGGATCAAAGAGAATGCACTGTGTATAAAACAAGAGAAATAACATTTCCCTCTCCTGGAGACATCTCATAGAAACACTTCTAGTTTCACACAGGGTTAAGGTCCAACTCCTGATGACAAAAGCAAAGACCTAAAATAATTCTAGTCTGAAAATTCCACAGAGTACTAAGTCTTATTATTATTTACTGCTATTTTCTTGTAACAAGCAAGATCTGGCAGCATTCTTCTGCTATCAGTTAGCATATTCTCCTGAGGGTCAGTGGTGTCATTGAAGTGGTGGTTCTGCTCCTTTTTCCTTGAGAGAGATTCCAGAAGATATTATTGAGTGACCTGTAGGATCAGCTTTTTTGCTTTCTTGTTGTGTCTTGCTAGCACTCTTAACAAATGTGTCCATGGAGTTTTCAGGGGTTTCCTGGGAGTTAGGATGCTGCAGAACCTGACAGAGTTTGGTGTAACCATTTCTCCCAGTACAGCTCACAGGAGGGAGTCAGTGGCCAGTTTGTAACAGAGACTGGAGCAGACATGAATTCCCACCTCAAAGGCAGAGATAAGGCAGAGGTAACTGTTACATGATGCATTATAGATTTTTCCTTCAAATCCTACATCTATTATAAGATTTTTTTATGACAGAATTTAAAAGTCAACATATCAATATGAACTGCAATGCCCAGTGGACAAGTAGTATCATAAAAAGATTTACAGATGAAGAACTGTAAAATAAGTTGTTATCTAAGCCATTTAAATATTTTTGTATTAAATAAATGGAGATAACTTTACCTCTGTGCTATATCTACTGCAGGTACTGTACTAATGCAAACACAGGTATCATTAACTTTGGTGAAGGCCACACAGATCCTTTTGGGGTTGCTCACCTTCTTTAGATCTGGTCATAGTCAGAGACAGAAAAAAAGAGAGAATTCCTGCTTTGGTTCAGTATATTGTCATCAGAAGAAAGAAGCAGTTTTGTAAATTTTAAACCTGGTTTCTAGTTATGGTTATGGCAAATCTTGGACCACCCCAGCTTTAAATCTTCTAAACATTTCATTTTGCTTTATGGTTATAATGTATAGAATTTGTTAGTAGTACTAGTAGCAGCAGATCTACTTATTTATGTCATGCTCTTGCGTTTACATTTCATTCTATCAGTTAAACTTAAACCAGTTCACACAATATGTCAGAAGTATTTTGTGTTAGAGTTCTTGGATTTACAAGCTGAACAATTTCATTACTATTGCTCTGGATCTGCAGCAGCTGTATCAAATCAAACTATGGTTCACAGACTTCACATAGCAACTCACAATTAATTTGTAGTTCTTTTAATGGACTCTTTTACTGTACATAAAGACTGCATATGTACACAGCAACCTTTTTTCCCTCCCTTTTAAAAAAGCTCTTCATCTTCCTTTTTAGCACAGTGTAATTATAGGGATTCTACACTGCAATCAAATATAGGGTTTGCATTTGAATTTTCAAATACTTTTACTTACAGGCATGTTTTCGGGCATTTTTTTAACTGTCAGCATTTACTTAAATGGCAATTATACTACTGAAACAAACTCAGGTTTGACAGAGATGTGTTGTATTTGCCTTATTAAACAGAAAATAAGGAGTAAACCCACCTTGTTTACTCTTCAAAGACCCTTGTACTGTACTACATGAGGGCTCCACAGACCTGGGGGTTTGTGTTTGCACTGATCTAAGACTGAATCCTAATATTTGAACATCTGTGTTGCCATCCTTCCACTCACTATTTAAAACTGTATAGGAAAAAGTCTAACCCCTTGGGGCAGGACTGTGTACCTTTTAAATTGAAAAGATGCTGAGGTATAGAGCTTGACTGCCTTGCCTGAGGCCACACATTTCTCTTGGGTTGAAATTGTGTGTACCTTTCCACCACTTGCTTTGCCGCAAAACTTGTTGTGTGAGGTTGTAAGGGCTTGCAACCCTCACACAGCAATTTGTGAATTATAAAGACAGGATTCACCCTGTGAGAACACAAATTTAGGAGGAAAAAATCTATCTTCTTCATGTACCTGTATGTGAATTTTCCTTTTCTATTGTTAGGTTACTTTGTGTGCAGGCATCTTCCCCCATGCCTAGCAGCAATTCCCAGATTTCTTGCTGACAGCCAAAGCCTGAACATTGAGCAGCAGCTCCAGCTTCTGCCTCTGTGCCTTTGCCCCAGCCCTTCCCTCAGCAGGCAGGGAAGGAGCCTGAGGCACCCACAGAGCCCACCCTGCTTGAGAATCAGATTTCAGACAAAAAAGCTTTGTCCTTGGGCACAAATATGAAAATCAGCTTGTTTGGGTATTTCTGACTCCTCTGGAGCTCCAGCCCTGGGTCACGTTGTGTTTGTAGAGAGCCAAGGAGTTGTGTAATGGCTGGGATATGTGGGGGTAGAAATGCAAGTGAGTGCATGCAAGCTCAGGTTGGTGGGGGAATTGCCCTTATTTGTAAGCGTGTATTTGTTTGAGTAGACCTGCTGCACCCTACATCTTATCTAAATACAAAATAAGGCCCACAGCTTCTAGCAGCTCCCTTGTGCTCCCTCTTCCAGCTCCCTTTCCCCTGCTGGAAAATGAAAACAGAACTTTAATGTTGGGGAAATCATTTTGGATTTGCCACAATAACCTTTTTGGTACCATCTCAGGATAACCAAAGTGTACCTATTTAGTCTGTTAAGCATCTCAGATGCCAGCTGGCGTAATAAATAACACCATATAGCAGTTTGGAGAGGAGTTCTAGAGAGAGACAAGATTTGAGATACTGCACTAATATTTGCTTTACTCCCTGAATATGGTTTTAGCTTTCATAGTGTAAGCTCACATTTGGATTTTTTGTGCACTTTTTGAAAGTACATGTCATAAATAAGAAAAAGTATTAAATTTTCCACAACAAGACATTTCAAAGGAAAAAATTCCATTTGGACTACCTCAGAATCAGAAATGTTTACATTTTGTAAGCTTATGATGACAGAGAATGAGTCTTTGAGAAATGTCTTAATTGTATGTTCGTGAGATTTTTTCTTTCTTTTAGGAAAAATGCAAATATTTCAATAAGAACTCAACAAAAGGGGAGTCTTCACTAACCTTGACAGGGACCAGATCATGCTGCTTTACAGCAGATCTTAATGGCCAAAGGCAGAACACCTGTATGCCTCAGTAGCACAGAAAGGTGCCAGTAATAACAATTCCATCAGGTGGATACAAACTCATCCCTGCTGAGGTCTGTGCTTGCAGGCAGAGCCTGCGTTGCCTTCTCCACTGACAATATCTCAAGTACTCATGCTGAGCTACTCCCAGACAGCTGGCACATCAGCATAAAATCCACTGCAACCAGCAACTGTGTGCAAGAATTGGAGCAAAGAGCTGTGTGATTTAGCTCGTGCTCCTGAGGTTCAGCTGCTGCTGGCACAGCTTCCAGCTGATTCAAAGCAAGCCCAGGTATGTGTACATGACCTGCTCCTGGAGAACTAACAGGTAGACATGACCTGCTCCCTGCTCCTGATTATACAGCAGCCTCCAGGAGTCCTTGGGCATTCTGATGATTTACTTCTGTCCTTTCACCACAGCTGCATTTTTTTTCTCTGTCCTAGTGGTTCACGTATTTTATTCTTCTTGAACGGATCTGTCCTCTCCCATCCATGTATCCCGCTATTACATTTATTAGCATTTCATTATATTATTGTTCTGGGTTCTTTTCAGTTTGCTGGCATACAGACATGTCTTATTAAATCTTTCTCTCCAGATATTATTATCTCTGGGTGACTACCAATTTTTTTTGAGTGCATTATTGTCAAATGCATATATTAGTTTTCATTTTCCTTTCTTTGTGATTCTTTTTCTGTAAAAAACAATGAAAATTATAAAGACTTAACATGACTTTAATGCTTCATCCTATTAAAATAGTGTAATTGTTAATGTCTAAAATGCACCTTGCATAATCCTAAATGATTATATGTATGAGATCTTAATTACATAGAACTTTCTTCCTTAATTAATGTATTCCAGACATCTGTAGTTTTTATGTATAAAAACCTAGTTCTTGCCATGGGTATATTTTAAGTCACAAATGCAAAAAAAGAGATGAAGTTTTCTGGTACTTGTTAGCAGTGTAAGAGGTAGCTGCTTGGCACTTTTAAATCTGATGCTGTTAATCATCACAGTGCTTTGATCAGGCTTTTATAATTTTTTAAATACTGCCCAATCCTACAGGCATCTGTTCAGATAAATAATTTTACTGGCATGTATAGATGACCTCAGATTCCAGACTCAGAGACATTTCAAATGTAAAAGGGAGAAGCTACTGTGTAAAAGCACATAAGAGGGGGGGAAATGTAAAAAGCAGATCCTTTTTCTTTAAAGTGAGGAAATGTATACAGCTATACTCTTTTTACCCTGATCCACTTAGGAGCATGCTGTTTAACGACACTAAGTGATAATGTACTTAAATGGTTAATGCAAGGGTTGATCCTCCTCTAAAACTGAGCTGGGAACAAAAGCTGAAATGACTTTTTGAAAGGGAGGGACAGGAGGAATTCTGACCCTTCTCCTGGCGTTTTACAACGCGAAACCACAAAGCAATTGAGGAATCAGTGCACGGCACGTGGATTAAAACGCTTCCTAGAAGCAGCTAGGACTGTGCATTGCCTAAACCCTCCCTGAACTTTCTCAGTGAATACAGCAGCCTGACAGCCCGGCTTCCCGCTGGGTGGATCCTGCAACTCCAGGAGGGAATGGCACTTCTTGTTTTTAATTAGCAAAGGTGAAAGGTGAATTAAAACTAGCTGTTTGGCAAGTCAGAGCAAGGGGCTGAGTTCTGAGGAGCACCAAGGAGGAGGGTGCTTTCTCCTTTTTTCCGTGTTTTTTTTTTTTTTTTTCCCCCTCCCTCCCTCCTTCTCTGAATGAATTGCCTTGCAGGAGGGACTGAAAATACAGCTTCTTCCTGAATCCACTGGCAGAGTTACTAAAGACAGCTCAAGACACAACACTGCAGAGTAACGCCTTGGAATGTCCTTGCACTTTATAAACAATTGTCCTAGGGAGGGAATATTTTTACATGACATTTGCACAGCTTGACAAATGGCTAGCTGAGGCTGTGCGCTGCTCTGATGAACGTTGAATTTCCCACAGAGACACCCCACAAACTGACCAAAGAGACACATCTAACTGCACTGGCAAAGTAGGGGAAGTTGGAGCCTTAAAAACACCCCAGCAAAACAACAAACAAACAGCAGCCGTTCCGTGAAGAGAGCAAGAAATTTATCTTGGGCAGGATGGCATCTGCTCAGGACCTTCTCATCCTGGCAGTGTATGGCTTGTTACTAGAGCTACCGGCTGGATGTCACGCAGCAGATACGAGGCAACCAAGGTTACGTCTGTCACATAAAGGTAGGTCAGTGTGCCAGGTTTTTAAAGACTTTGTACTGTGCAAGTTCATTGCCTTCACTGAATGTATTGCATCGGGATTAAATTATGGTCCTTCAATAGAGTAAAATGTTCCTGTTCAGAAATCTTGTGAATTGTTTCCTTGTGCTAAACTGCATCCTAGGTTAAGTTTACTGGATTCTGGAAGACTTAAGGTACTTGGAGTGATGATTTTTAGACTACTGAAATATTCTTCTACCTGAAAGTGTGTTAGATTTGCATGCCATTCTCTCTCACTCTCCATGCTGTAAGAAGGCTGTCAGGTCTCTTAATAAGAGGGAAAGAAATGGAAAAGATAACCTGAAATTATTGCTGAATAAATGTGCATCATGTAACCCTTGAACAATTAAATGTCTGTTTCACTTTTAGAATTCTATCTGTCTACAAATATAGCTAAGGCAAAAGGACTGAATTCCTGTGCAAACATATGATTCATTTTCTAAACTAGCAAGTGTCATCACACTATAATTAAAATGAGTACCTGCCAATGTAAGTCTGCTTACCATTTAACTGAGTTACCCAAAGGAAATTTTTTTTTTCTGATATATTTATGTAGAATACTTATAACTTTTATTTTTTGCTTAAAATTATTTAAATCTGTTACCTGAAAGCTGAATCATTTTTCCTTTGCTCCTTAAATGTCTGTTCTGTTCTGGACTGCATGTGATTTAAATTCTTCCCTATGATTTGGGTTTAATCCTGTATATATATAAAATACCTGTGCACAGCCACGGCGTTTGAGTTCTCTGCAGCAGGACATACATTTGTAGATCATATACATAGACAGGTATGACAGATGGTCATTGCAATAGGAGAAAGAAATGTAATTGTGCAAAATAAAGTGATGATTGGCCAATCAATAATGTTTGGATATTACCTCTTAGGCACAGATGAAAACAAAATGCTTTTTTGCTGACATAGTTGGGAGTGAGCAAATTTCAATTTACTCAAGAACATTTCAATGGTTATGCAAGTGATAACTAAGCTATATCAGTGTGAAGTACATTAGAATACCTATTTTAAGAATGGCTAAGTTTTAAGAATTAGCAGCATCTAGAGCTCCATGTGTATACAGCTTTTCTCTTAACAAGGTTTAATTGTGTTTTATATAGCAAGCTAAATTACCAATTATAAGGAAGGGAGAAGCTGAATAGGATAATTGGTCTAAAAGTCTTACTCGGAAGCTATAAGAAATGGGGTTTGCTTTTATAGGGCTATGAAATGTTTTAGAGAAAGAAGTATTTTTCATGGAAAGCTGTCTTGTAAGTAAACAATTAATTGCTCTGAATGAAATAAATTATATGACCCCTTTTAACATATAAACCACTTTTCTTTTAACCTATGGTTTCAGAGTACAGTAGGAATGAGTGCCAAATGCTGACTGTACAGTCCTTTCACATCTCTTACTCTTGAAAATGTGTATTTGAATATTGATTTATTTCTAGATGTAACTGCTAGGGCTATAATTGTTAATGACATTGTTTGCTTTTGATGGAGTAAGGGGGATGAGAAAAACACAGTAAATGAGACAAATAGACCAAGTGTTATGTTGGTTCAGGACTTTGGTTTAGCTGAAAATTTTGGCAAGCTCCCCACTATGGTGCTGTGACTATTAACTGCTTCTCTGCTCACTTGTAGTAGTAATTGCTTTCCAATGGTTGGAACTAGTGTACATTTCACTGCATACTGCTTCTCTTTTCAGCACTGAGCCAGTAATTTGGCCATAACACATCATAACTCTGATACCTTCAAAGAGATCTTAAAACATCAGTTTCTCACAGAGGGCCAAACCTTACCTGCCTGATGGCAGTTCCCTCAGATCCAACAACACAGAAAGATCTGTCCTCATAAATTCCCTACCACAGTCACACATATCAACATGTTATATTTCCCCTTGTACAATACACTATCACATTTTTCACCCTTAGGAAATGTGGCTGATTTTACAAGCAGCATTGCAGTCAGGGAGTGCCTGACCACATATCCGCAGCCAAAGGGTGGAAATGGCATACCTGCCTGCCACCCTGGGAACAGCTATTGCAGCCCTCCCAGCCAAAAGAATGTAGCGACCAAGCATGAAGACAATGAGCAAATGTCACTGCTGTCCTCACTAATCAAACAGGAACAGCAGGAGGGACCCTCATCTTAATTGCATTTGCTGCAGAGAAAGGCTGCTGTGGGTACCAGAGAGGTTGGGGTAGTTACAGGGAGATGGTCGTGCACCCTCTGGATAAAGGTGCTTCAGCCTGTCCTGTGACTTGTTGCTGTGGCACAGAGGATGAAGCCCATATGTGCAAATTTTCAGTGTGGAGTAGCTGCAGCCTCAGATAAAAAATTCACTGCAAAGACCCTGCAACATGGAAGTCAGCAGGCCTGCTGACTACCTCCCTTTGGAACTGCAGACGTTGGTGGCTAATTGGCATCCAGGCCCTTGCAAGATATGCCAGTGCTGACTGGAAAGTTAAAAGCTTCTGTGACGAGTATGATGAGATTATGAACATCAGATTTTTTTTTTTAATGAAAGGATATTTAAAATCAGTCCATTTTAAAGTCTTGTTTCCTTAGAGCCAAGAGAATGCTTGCAAGAATGAGTCTTCTTTGATTTTTATAAATTCACAAATGATCTCTTTAAATCACTTTTAGGGTGGTGCTCAGTGAAAGTGAGTTAGTGGTCTGACAGTGAATAGGAACCTTTTGCTCTCACAGCAAACCAGACCTTCACCTGCAGTGCACACATGTCTCCAAACCCACAGCAACAAGATCAGGTCCTAACCCTTGCAGAGGGGTCGCCTGATGGATAGGAATACCACAATCCCCCTGCCAATTAAGGGATATATTGTGCAACCTCTGTTTGACTCCATGGCCATTTACTCTGCTTCAGTGGGAGTTAATGAAAGTCCTGCATTCATGAACTACTGTTAAACCTGTCAAGTCATCGCAAACCGTAATGGTGATTTTTGCTAAGGCAGATGATGATCTCCATTCACAGTAAACTCAAATGGGAATCTGGCTGTTTCTTTATCAGATGTGACTTGATCCTATAACCACCTAGCAGTCATTTTATGGTTCTAACTTCATTTTTAGCAAGTTGAGATAGGTTTATATCCACAAAGGAACTTGAAGGTGTTTTCCTCAAACCATCATCTTGTGTCCATTAGGAAATTTATACTGCAATCAGTACCACTTGTGGTACTAGTGTTATGATTGCACTAAAGATCAATGTTTGAAGACAACCAACCAAGATCTGTGTAGTCCAATAGCTTCATGTTGATTTGTAGAGATAAAAATGTGTTATAGCTTGTTACTATTATAGAGAAATAGATGTCTGCATTATTAGGTTATGGGTTGACAACTTCATTTAGAAATTACTAGCTCATTTTACATAGAGTACAGACTCTGGCTAATGAGCTGTTAATGGGAGCCAAGCTTCAGCCCCTATTCTTTATAGGCTGCTGGTTAAATTCTTTCCCAGTATCCCACAGTTTGAGTTCTCGCAATGGGAAATATATAATTAAGGTGAAATCAGCACACACTGCGTGTTAAAAAGAAACTATTTACATTACAGATTGAAATGGATTGAGTTTCCAGAGGACAGGAGTGATATATTTTTATAAGCCTGACAGAGCTACGCTGGAAGCATGTGGGCCTGAAAGGCATATGAAGGACATAATTGTCTAATTCAAGCATTATGCATGGTTTTCTTTGTATTTCTAATTGGTTTGGGGTTGTTTTTTTTCTTCCTAGTTAATAATTATGGTAAAGAACAAAGGTAGTGCAGTATGAAAATGAGATGTTGAGCCTTTAGAGTGGTCTGTACAGTTCTGTTGCTGCAGTGGGGTCTGGTGCAGTTACGTGCAGCACTTTGCACATCTTGAGGGATCTGTTTTTTGTTTTATCTGCTACATTCTCTTGAGTAACTTGAGGGGTTTTGGCATTACTTGACCTCAGGTTGTGTAGCTGTGCACTGGACACTGCTCTTGTCTGGAAAAAGTGTGTTTAAGAGGTGGGTGTGCCTGCCTTACCCATTGAAATGTGTCTTTTTACCTGTTGCTGGAAGTGCTTGCAACTTTCTACAGTAGGGTCAAGCTGCAGCAGGCAGAAGGAGCAGACTAAACTTAGAAGGAAATCAACCGGGGTAAAAAAATGTATTCTCCAAGCACAAATATTTCAAATAGTAACATACTGCTAAGGAAGGGAGAGATGAAATTTTGCAGACAAAAACTGATGCTCACCATGTTCACAGTCAGATTTTAATATGTAAAATGTGTAATATAAAACATTTAATGTAGAAGAATTTAGGTTTTTTCGGGCTGACTAGTCATCCTGGAGGGCTGCTGAGGTCTGTTACAGGAGAAAAAATATTTCATTGCCATTTGCAGGAACTGCAGTTTCAACACACCTACTTTAACATTCCTGATATTTGCAATTTTTAATTCATTGTAATTAAGGCTACGAGTTTTACCATGTTTATCCATGATATCTTACTCTATTCTCTAGCTAGTGGGCTGTAAAATTTACTCAGGGGCTAACAACTACATTGAGTAACGAAAATGTAGGGAATATTTAGAATGTTATTTCCAAATTCTAAAGTAGGCAAATATGTTTTATAAAAGTATAGTATTTTCAGTTAGTTATCAACTGGCCACTTAAATCCTGGCTAATTAATGACTAACCACATAACCCATAGCTGAATCATGACTGGTTCAATTTCATTCATGAAAATGTTTTCTATTTTTAACAGCTTTCACTAGTTTTGAATGACTAGGAAAGAGCAGTTTTCCTACCAAAGCAAGTTCAAATTCAATAATGGTGTTAATTCATGCTTGTTATAAATCACCTTGACTTTGTACCAGGATAAAAAACTGACTTTTGTTCTTTGCTTACATATAGTCCAGAGAGATCTATGTGTAAAAAAGTAGAGGATATCATATGTGTATTCACACACACGTATATACATATAAACA